TTTATTAGAGTCCTTTGCCTTTGGATTCTTGTCAATCTAGCAAGAGGGCTGGCAATTTTGTTTATCTTTTTGAAAAACCAGCTTTTGGTTTTGTTGATTTTCCATATAATTCTATTGTTCTCCATTTCATTTTGTTCTGCTTTGATTTTAGTTATTTCTTTTCTTCTACTAGTATTGGAATTGATTTGCTCTTCCTTTTCCAATTCTTTGAGTCTATTTATTAGGTTGTTGATTTCTAAGCTTTCTGTTTTTTGGATGTGAGCATTTATTGCTATTAGTTTTCCTCTCAGGTATGCTTTTGCTGTATCCCACAGGTTTTGATGACTTGTTTCTCCGTTATCATTTAGTTCGAAGAAATTCTTGATTTCCCTCCGTATTTCCTCCTTGACCCAATAGTTAGTAAACAATAGATTGTTTAATTTCCATGACTTTGTGGGGTGGTAAGTATTTCTATTGGAATTGAACTCTAATTTTATACCACTATGGTCAGAGAAGATACACGGTATAATTTCTATTTTTCTGAATTTGTTGAGGTCTGATTTGTGGCCTAGTATGCGGTCAATTTTGGAGAAAGATCCCTTTCACCATTATATAGTGGCCATCTTTGTCCTTTTTTACTTTTGCTATTTTAAAGCTTATGTTATCTGAAAATAGTATAGGTACCCCTGCTTTCTTTTGACTTCCATTTGCCTGGATGATAGTTTTCCATCCCTTGACCTTTAGCCTGTAGGCATCTTTGTGGGTTAGATGAGTTTCCTGTAGATAGCAGATACTAGGCTTGTGGATTTTTATCCACTCTGCCAGTCTATGTCTTTTCAGAGGACAGTTTAAGCCATTCACATTTATTGAGAGGATTGAAATTTGAGCTAGAATTCCATTCATATTGTTGGGTGAAATCCTGTTGTTTTGTTTTGCTCCTTGAGCCATCATGAAGTGCACGTTCTAGGCTTTAACTCTTGAATGATTTTACTTTGAAGAGCGTCTGTTGTGCTGTTCAGTGTGTAATGCAGGTCTGAGTAGTTCCTGTAGGGCTGATCTGGTCTTTACAAATTCCATCAGTGATTGCTTTTTTGGGAAGGACTTAATTACTCCCTCATAGATGAAACTTAATTTTGCTGGATAAAGAATTATATTTTGGACATTATTCTGTTTTAGTAGATTAAGGATAGGGACCCAATCCCTTCTGGCTTGTAAAGTTTCAGTTGAGATATCTGCAGTTAGTCTGATAGGATTTCCTTTGCAATTTATTTGTTGCTTTCGTCTCACTGCTCGGAGGATTGCTTCTTTCGTGTTTACTTTGGTCAGCCTAATAACTACGCGACGTGGTGATTGCCTTTTAACATTGAGTCTCCCAGGAATTCTGTGTGCTTCTTGTATCTGGATATCAAGATTTCTGGCCAGGCCTGGCATATTTTCCTCCAGTATTCCATGAAATAAGTTTTCCAGCCTATGTGAATTTTCTTCTTCTCCCTCTGGGATACCAATGATTCTAAGATTTGGTTTCTTTACATAATCCCACATTTCTTATATGTTTTGGTCTTGTCTCTTGTTTCTGAGTTCTTTTTCTTCATCTGATTTGTTTAGCACGTAGGCATTATCTTCAAGCTCTGAGATTCTGTCCTCTGCATGATCCATTCTATTCTTGAGGCTTTCAATTGTATTTTGAAGTTCCTTGA